TATTTTTATGATTTCAAAAGAAAAATTTAATTTAGAACTATTTTTGAAATCCACTAAATATATTATTTTAGAACTTCTTCGAGAAATTATCGATTCATATTTAATGGATTTATGTTCATAAATTCTTCACTGTGTAAAGTGTGTGGCAATGAGCAAGTGATATTGAAGCCTCATTAAGACGGATGTCAAAGTGGGCGGATGGGCGATACACTGGCTCTCTAGGTGGGCGGGGCAGTGGGTCGCTGTTTGTTGTGGCATCTGCGGTCGTGTTTGTTGTTGTTCTTGTTCTATTTGTTGTTGTTGTGTCAGTCAGCGAATCGCTCAAGTGGCACGCGCTTGATAACAACACCAAGCCAAGCTCCCAGTTGCCATGTTTCCCGGTCCCATTTCTCGTCTCCACAGGGAACGACGACGCACTGCAAGTCGAGAAACACTCATTTGAAATGCAATTGAAACCGCCAGAGACAGTCAGTGACATGACAGCAGATAGCGGATAGCGGTATGCGACAGTAGCAGCAATAATAATAACGATAGTGGGAAAAGTAGGGGCAGTTATCTAACAACAGGCAGTTCCCATTCAGAGCAGCTATCTAGTAGTTAGCAGGTAAATGCAAAATGTAGCACGGTTCTAATAACTATGAGTGGAGGTAGAAAAGTTAGATGTAGGTTCTTAAATTACTGTAAAAGCTAGAAAAACTGTGGAAACCTCAAGTATAAAACAATTAAACCAAATGTTACAAATGGACATTCTATTTTGAGTTAAAAAGGTATTTTTAAGACAGATATTTTGGTATCTTAACATTAGCTTTTTACTTATATTAGGCATAAATTATATATTTTTTTTAATTAAACAAAAATATTCTTCCCTAAATTTTAGATATGTGTTAAAATAAATGTGTGGTAAAAAAGGACTATATTTTAATTTTTAACTATTATGAAAATCCTTGAATAAGTTGAGAAACCCACGTTTCTACTCTTACATTGCCTTTCTAAACGAAAAGGATTAAATCTAGAAAATTCTCCCCTTGCTCGCCAGTCCATAAAAATGTCAATAACATTTCTGTTTACCCAATTTACGAAATTAGGTTAACTAGTGTTATCAACGGCATTTCAGACATACATGGCTGTCATGTCCCTCCAAATGCCAAATGGCAAATGGCAAAAGCCGACTCCCTACTGTTGGCTTTCCTTTTGTAACTGCCACTTTTGAAACGAATGATGGAGGGAAAACGACGAGTTGAAATGGAAAATGCATGAAAAGCACAAATTGATAATTGAATTTGGCACAGGCTCAAACTGCAGTTGTTGTTTTGTCGCTACTATTGCTATTGCAAGTATTGCACAGCATGCGCCAAGTGGGTCAATGTGAGCCGGGGTGACAAGCTGTAGCTATAGAAATATGTATAGAAAAAGTAAAAAATCACACACATCAACGGCGACATAAAATTGAAGCCAATTAGGAGGAAAATGGAAAATATTTGTCAGCCAGCTGGAAACCAAATGCGAGTGTAGGTGTAACATATAACTAAAAAAATCGCAGAGCATGAGGAAAAACCGGAGAAAATCTATCAGAATTCTCACCGTATTATTAGCTGTTATTCGGCCATTATAGGCCCTAAAATATGTTAAGCTGTCTGCGTGGGTGATAAAACTTCAGCGCAACACAATGATGGGCCACAAATTACCCAAAAGACAGCGCGTCGTCATCAAAGATATTCGATTTCCAACACTCGACACTCATAAATTTCACAAGAGCTCTGGCGCCCAGGATATTGAAACATATTCATGACCCGCAGGGCAGGCACGAAGGCCCACAAATATTCGTGGATATACCCCGAATCTAAAGTATTGCATGTTCGCACCCATTTCTCCACTTTCCCCCCGAACATTTGCCCCTCAAAACGGCTGGGCATTCGGTTAATTTAACGACAATAAAAACATCACGCATACGCCCCGCGGTGCCAGCGGTGATGGTAAATGTGGTAGATGTAGATAGATGGTGGTTTACGGCGGGGGGATCCAATAAAGCAACTGCCTTGAAATTGTCATCGAAGAGAAAGAGAGATAGAGAAAAAGTTCAATCATTAGTTGGCACATGACAGAATGCAGCGAGTGAGCAAGAAGAATTAGCTTACTTTAATTGGTAGAACTAGGAATACTCTGGAAAATGTTGAATTTTAATTTCTGTAAAGATAAGAAACCATAATATTAGTTGTTATATTATTAAAAAATATTATAAGATAGTTAATATTATTGTCTTTAAATTTTCTTAAAGTGCTTAAATTAAAAATAAAATCAAAGAATTATGAAATTATTAAATCAACTTAATTTTTTCGATAGTGGTCAACTTTTCCAAAATATCTTAATACTCTTTTTGAAGGTGAAAAAGTGTCGCACGAGTTGTGAAATATGAAAAGGCATTGAAGGAGTGTGGTTGGGGGAGGAAGGGGGCATTATACACACAGATATATGTACATAAGTGGGCGAGTATCGTGTTGGCCCGTTAGCTTTAAAACGCCCACACCATCACGATCTCTAGCCCCCTCTCTCTCTAACTGACAACACAGCAGCTGCATTCGTAGTATTCCAAAGATTAAAACGAAAACAGAAAATATTTCTCATTCCCGAAATGTTTATGTCAAAGCTAAGAAGAAGAAATGGAAATCCATGCAGAGGCGGAGGTGAAAATGGAGTCAAAAAGGGGACACTGGGGGGAAATTTTGTAAATTTCAAGCGAACTCAGATAAGCAGAAATGTGTACCTCAATGCAGTGTATAGGAAATGCAGCCTTTTCTATTATTGATACTGCAGTATTCCACATGTGGAATTTTTATTGATACTATGGAGTCTTTAAAAAAATTATCTTAATTATTATTAAATTATCTAATTAAATTATCTAATTATTATTATTTTTTTTTAATTTATTAGGGTTTGATTTTTATTTTAAGGATCGGAATTTCGGTTAGGAATAGATTGAATATAGTCGTAATTATTATTTGAATTTTTGCCCTATAATTATTTCTAAAGAATTAATGCTCAGTAATTAATAGACCAAAGTTTAAAGTAAATGTTTTCGCTGGTGAGTGTTTTTTTAGATTATTAGTATTAATCAGTATGACGTTATAACGCTTATTATTTATAGGTCAACTGTTAATGCGTAGACATAAAGCTTTGTAAATACTAAAATTTAAGTACTATTTTCCCAATACTACCCACTGTACTCCTAAATGTTCGTTGGCCCGGCTATCTGCATGATCTCAGCATTATAATGAGCCAAGCAAATGCGCAGGCGTATTTTGAGCGGTGACAAGATTGCTTACAAAACATACAAAGTGGAAAAATATTTAGCAAGAAGCTAGAAGGAAAAGCGATCCCCAAAATAAAAAGCGGACAAAATAAAACAATATATTTATGTGTCGCGTGGACGCGACAAGCTGCTGTCGTATCTGCTTTTTTCAGTTTTGTTTTATTGTCTGTCTGATATATGGAAATGTTTTATGTGTGGACTGCACTTTTCGACTGTCGCCATAGATAAATTCATACATATAGGACACATAGAGCTGGATTGTAAAACTTGACGGGGAATTGAAATTAATTTGCTGTCCGAAGTCGGTGGGAGGAAATTTGGGAGGGGATTTGGATTTGATTGCACATTGCATAATTTCGAGTGACGTAGAACATGCACACAATCTTTCTCCTTGAAAAGTGGCGCTATGTAATCTCTTTCCAGGGACAAAAACAGGATTTTGTCCAATTAAAGCAAACATCAATTCTCGTGTGTAAACTTTACATACAGTCGTCTCACTTACAAAGCCGATTTGTGTGTTTTTCTTTTATTATCCGTAACGAAGCGTTCGGTTTTCAGTTTTGTCATTGAATCTGGCCTAAGCCAGATCTGGAAAAACTGGAGCATGCAACGTTTCGATTTGGGCCTCTTTTTGGGCATACCACTCGCGTACATACTTCAGTGCATATGGGCAAGGTCATCAGCATTGGATGGGTGGGTTGTACAATGGCCTCTTTGGTCGGGGTGTGTGTGGAGCCAATGGAGCATTTCGATTAGAGCTGAGCAGCGCCGTTCGTGAATAAAAACTAGTTCGACTTTATGGTTAGGCTGTAGGGTACCGTTTAAATGATTGTTTTGGCTAAACAAAAAGTGGGAATAGTGAAAGTCGTATTTATTGGGATAGCTGCAAGAGGTTAAATACATTTCATTTGAGTTCAATCAAGTGAAAATCGAAAATATTATTAGAACTATAAAAATATTGATACAAATATTATTAGGAATATTTTAAAAAATAAAATTACAAATCTTATTAAAAATAATAATTAAAAAATTATTAAATGATTAAGACCTAATCCTAATTTTCAAAATAAAAAATTACACTTAAATTCAGGGAGCGTAAATAACAGTCATTTGAGACTTTTATTTTAAAAATAATACTGTGATAATTCGTTTTAAACGTGAAAAATAACACTCATTTTACTCTTGTCCACAAAGCATATGAATATCAACAAATCTGGAAAGCAAATTAACTGTTATTTGTCCATGTCTATAAAGTGCTTAAAAACCAGTAAAATTGTTGATAAAAAATTGAACAAGTCTCAGTAGGCCTTTTAAAATAAAAGTGTCAAATAACTGCTATTTACGGTCCCTGCTTAAATCGAATAAATATAGGTTTCAAACAATTTCCAAGAATATTTTAATTAGAATATCTTTTTGGCTCTTTTTCGGTAAAAAAGGCTTTTATATTCCGCACAATAAACTCTTGAAAACACATTCTTATTCACTGTATCATCCTGCGATTCCCCGTTAGTCAGCTTTTCGCTGGGGATTTCGTGGATTTTTGGGGATGCTGACTGCCGCTCAAATGTCACGTCAGCCACTCGACAAAACGAGAGTGGAGTGATGCTTGGGGTTTGAGCCATTGACTTGGCACTTTGAATAGCACTCCAGACCAATACTAATCCCCTGTCTGATTTCCGTCTTCTCCTTGCAGCCTGTGCGTTTCGTTCGTTCCACGCTTGTGACCCCGTAGCCCACGTCCACTTTTGTGGCGTGTGCAATCCAGAAGCCGCCAAGACGACTTACTCGATAATGAAGATGAGCTCGCCCAGGATCATGCAGCAGAAGCGGAGCAGCAAGTCCTCCAACTCGTCAAGGGTCTCGATGACCACCTCGACGGCGGAGGAGAATCTCCTGGAGTCGAAGCTCTTCAGTTGGATGCGTCTATTCCGCTTCGCCTCGCTGCTCTGCCGCGCCGAGTAACGGATACGATAGAGGTCCCGAACAAGATCCTCCCCTTTCCCAACAAAAAAAAAATATATATATTATATTAAAAGAAATGCATATAACAGATACTCGAACTAGTTGCCGCTTTTCAGTCAAGTTTTCCTATATATAATGAGACACCAACAGAGAAACACCAACAACCTATATTGTCACCTTAACTTTTCCAGCAATGTAGAGACTAAGTATTACGAAATGAGTAATCAAGGATACACCTCCTACCAGAAACACCATGTTAAGTTTAAGCTGAAAGGCAAGGAATATTATCAACCGAAACCCAAATAATACAATCTTTAAGTTAAGCTCCTTTTTGGGAAATCGAAATCGATACCGAAACCGAAACCGTTTTCTTTCAGTTAGCTCTTCACAATTAAGTCAATTTTTAGTGTAAATTCCGTAGCAACGGAATTTCTCGCGCCTTTCGTACCTTTTGTATTGTAATAAGTGAAAAGAAAAATGAGACACTTACAAATTGCAAACTACAAGCGAATAAATATTAAATCATAATCCACTTATTGCGTTTTTTCGGGTTTATTAGTGCTTAAGTTTCGAGAACAGCCGACTAAAACATGAGGTACATATATATTTTTGTAATTACAACACTGTTTTGCGGGTCACAAACGAAATAAAACAAAAATAGAAAACTTCAAGAGAAAACGTTTATGCAAGGCTATTAAATAGATAAATATATTAACTAAAGAGGCGAGCAAATGAGCAGTACTAACAATAACAATACGATGTTTACACACATGTAGAGGAATATATTTACACATCAAAAACTCGAATCGGAGTCTATGCAAATGCGCTTATCCAATAAATATATTAACACTAATTCACAATAGTTATCCAAGCCCAGCAATATGAGAAGTGCATTTAACCCAAAGAAGTGGCCAAACGACAGCGATTGTTGTTATAACACACTAGCAATGCAAAAAACACAATAGCAAAGAAAGAACCTTGATTTCTGAACAACCTCAGAAAGTAATAAAGATGGAAATAACAATGAAATAACTACGACAACAAAGAACAAATACAGTTATCAGAGATTTTCGAAATTCAAATTTACTTATTAATTAGTTAGTAAGCCAGAATGCAACCCTGCAAACATGAACATAACGGTAATAACGGTAAATGCCAAAACAATGAGAAAACTGTACTAGAACATAGCAATATCACTGCAGCAGATAATTGTTGAGAAAAATGCAATAAATCGATATCGATCAATAAATAAAGTCTTTAAGCTGTTGAGTGTTCAATGCAATAAATGTTTTTAGTTTTTTTTCGGTTGGGATTTATATAGTGTGTACATTGTTAATTGAGATTAACATGTTGGGCTATCCTCTTAATTTGTAGTATTCTTATTACATTCGTATACCTTTTTTGGTGTCGGTATTGTTTAAAGGAAACAAAATATTCGCTATTTAAAGTGTTAAGTACATGTTGGCGGCTTAATATTTGAATTTCTCCCTGAAATATTCGATATATAAACACCGATAAATATTCGATAGCACAACATATGTTATGTTGCATTCCATATGTTATCTTACAGGGTGATTAGAGTACTTGTGAGTAGTTGGATTAATTGAGATGCAAGTTGAAAGCTAAACAATCTATTTACGAGATAGTTTTTGATATTCTATATTTATATTGAAGATTTTTTAAACCACGAGAGTATCACCTGGATAAGTACCCGTTCTGGTGGGGAAATTTGCATACTGGCAGGATTACACAGGCGCTGAAGTAAGCCCCCAATATTACTAACAATTTGCTGGATAACCCAACCCCAATTACAAGAATTATCTTAAACTACACATGCAATGACATGGACCCCCATACAAAGTGCATTCGTGGAGGCTTATTAAAATACCGGTTCTCTTGATTTCAGCGCAATGGAGGAAATATGCCGAGTTTGTCTGGGGAACTATGACAACATGGTCAACATATTCGAAGGAACACAAGAATCGGGACCTTCAATTCCTGATATGATTGCCCTGTGGTCCGGCTATCAAGTCAGGAAAGGCGACTCCTTTCCTGAAAGTATCTGCTCAATTTGCCTGGAAGATGCCCGAAATGCATTTGAGATCCAAAAGTCTTCCAAGGCGGGACTCCAATTCCTATGCCAAGTCACAAAAAGGGAGCACGTGGAGGAGGAAGTCTCAAGTGCCACCCAAAACTTAAGTTATCCTGTGAAGGACACGACTCTCGCAGAACCGGAATCGAATGAACTGAACGAGCTTCCTGTACAATTTTACTTTTTCGAGGATGAGATATTAGTCAGTGAATCTGAACAGTCCGATGGCCAATTTGTAGAGGAAATGTATCAATCAAAAGCACCTATCCAAGACGATGAAGTCTATGAAATATCAGGCGATGAAACCGAACAATCCGATTGCCAAATTGAAGATAGTCAAGATATTGATAGTAATCACAATAACCAGAAAACAGATGATAATACGAATTCTGGCAATGATAAATCTCTGGTGTGTCCCTATTGTCAAAAGATCTACCAACGTAAATGGAATCTAAAATTGCACATTCGAACGCACAGTGGTGAACGGCCCTACAAATGTTCCCAGTGTACGAAATCATTTACCCGAAGTTGTTATCTCATAAGCCACATGGCGGATCATACGGGGGAGCTACCTTTTAAATGTCGCTACTGTCCCAGGGCCTACCGATTTAGATCGAGTTGCTCACGACACATGCAACGACACAGGGATGCTTTAAAGGATGATGTTCAATCTCCTGAAGAGAAACAGTCAAAAACTCTAGAAGTAAAAGATCCCACAAAGGAGTCCCACATAATGACACACACTGGGACAGAACCAAAACTGATGCCCAGTGAAGACCATTCCTATACCTGCAGTGTCTGCCTAAAGACTTTTAATGATCATGCTTCTCTTATGGTTCACAACATTACTCATAAAGCGAAGTCTATGTACAAGTGTCCCATTTGCCCAATGTCCTTCGATCTAGCACACGAAAGGAATCGACACAGCCGCACGCACGAGGGAGAAAAGGCCTTCAAGTGTACCCACTGTCACCGGAGTTATAGGCAACTGAAGGAACTCAATCGGCACATCCGGGCTCACACGGGAGAAAAGCAGTTTGAGTGTGATCACTGCCCCAAATCATTTGTTTATGTTTCTCATCTCAACCAGCACCTGCGTTGTCATTCGGCTGAACGGCCACATAAATGTGATATCTGCTCAATGACCTTCAGGCGAATGGATGGACTAAAAAGACACCTCCAGTTTCACGGCGAGGAAAGGCCGTATAAATGCGATTATTGCCCAAAGACCTTCAAGTACACAGCTTCCGTTCGGATGCATATCCGTGTTCACACGGGCGAACGGCCATTCAAGTGTCGCGAGTGCGAAAAGACTTATAAACAACCCTGCGATCTCAAGCGGCACATGCGGACTCACACGGGCGAAAGGCCGTTCAAATGTGATTATTGTGAGAAGGCATTCACAGATCTTTCAACTGTGAATGCTCACATAAGGACACACACGGGTGAACGTCCCTACAAGTGCTCCTACTGCCAGAAATCTTTTTCGCAGTTATCTAGTCTTAATAATCATTTATTTATTCATAAGAGAGAGCTACAAAATGGAGCTCAGGAAACGTAGGGCTTATTTAGTTTATTCAATTAATAGATTTTTTTAAAATATTTTTTAGTTTGTACATTTAAAATACCATGAAAACTAAATGCCTCATAACTAAGCAGGTTCTTGTTATATTTTTCGTGAACATAAATGAACAGTTCTTCACCTAAAATATTTTTTAATATCTAGAAGCAGACAATAGTTATTTAAGAGGAGTCGGCATGAGAGAATTTTATTAACAGAACATTTTTAATAGGTTTTATTTTACTTCAAAGTCCTTATACAATTCTTGGCGAAATAAAAAATATATGGACTAAAAATATACTGAAAAGCAGTTGATATACATAGATGGTTTCAAAGAAACTTTTGTCTGTTTTAGATTGACGTATATTAATGTATCAAATTGAATATAATTAAAATTTCTGATTAAAATTCAAATTTAAATTTCAAGCAATGCCGCTAATCGATAACAATTCGATTGCAAACACATGTTAATGCGCCTAACAGCACAATATGTGTGCTGGCACAGGGTGATTAGAGTACTTAAAGGGCCAACTGTAAAGATGTAAACAATCCACGAATTAGTTATTATTGTTTTAAAATTGTTAAATTAAAACATCCAAATGTGAGCATGTTAATTAGGTTAATCGTTGGAGTTTATTGATTTATTTTCTCTTTCAGATCAATGGAAGAAATATGCCGGGTTTGCCTTGGGAGCGATGACAACATGGTCAACATTTTTGAAGGATCTCAAGGATTGGGACCCTCTATTCCGGATATGATTGCTCAGTGGTCCGGCTATCAAGTGGAAAAAGGCGACTCGCTGCCGGAAAACATTTGCTCAAGTTGCTTGGAAGATGCGAAAAAGGCATTTGAGATCGAGATCAAGGAGATAAAGGAAGAATTCCGAAAAATATCAGACTCTAAAAGTGAGGAGACCATCATAAGCCAAAAGTTAGGTGATCTTGTCAAGGACTTGACATCCGGAGAACAAGAATCAAATGTAGAAATGAAAACCCTGAAAATTCCAGAACGAATGAGCTTTCCATTATCTGAAAATGAGATGTCAGCCGGCCAAGCTGATAAATCGCATGACCAATTTCCAAAGGACAGGAGCAGTATTATATCAGTTGGTAGCAATACTCAAGAAGTCGAAGTTTGTGAAATACCAGACGATGAATCTAAATCTAATCAATCTGATTCTCAGACTCAAGAGGATGAAGTCAGTGAAATATCAGTGGGTAATGAGGCTGGCGATTATGACAAGGATCCTTGTGGACCGAAGACCTTTAACACTGATACTCACAATGAGGAGCGACCCCACAAGTGTCCCAAGTGCACGAAAACGTTTGCACGCTTATGTATCTTTAAGAATCACCTTAGAAAGCACACAAATGACAAAGACAAACCATCATGTAAAGCGAAAAAAGCGAATCGAAAGCGAAAGGTTGAAACGAATAATGAAAGATTTCAGTGTGATCATTGTCCTCAGTCTTTTATGTTCGAAACTTCTTTAACAGCCCACCTCCTCCTGCTTCACACAGGGGAACAGCCCCCCCACAAATGTCATCAATGCGAGGTGAACTCTGCGCTTTCCAATTCCTTTCAGGTGCACATCCGTGAACATACTAGAGAAGGACCATATAAATGTAATCATTGCCCGAAATCTTGTAGGCATCACACGGAGGAACAACTACCCGACCATTTAAAGGAACATTTGCATAAATGTTATCAGTGTCTGGCCACTTTTAAGCTAGAAGGCAGTCTTAAGAAACACATGTGGGTTCACGAACGAGAACTCAAGCGTATAAATAAATGACAAACCCAACCTTTCAATCCAAATCGTATTCGATTTATTGTTTCATAACGCTTTAAACTAACTAACTTTCAATACCCGGCCTTCGCTTTAAGATTCAACAAAATTAAAATCATGGGAGAGCCCTCTTAACAATACATAACGTAATCGTAAATAATGCAATGAATTAGGAATAAGTTAGCACATTGAGAAGTTTAGATAAATCTGATCGAAGAAGGTGATGCATGAGTAAATGTAGTGGTAAACAAATTTAAGAGAGGTTTGCTTAAGATCGAAATATACTATTAGCTAAGGCACCGAATTGGTAGCAATCGCAATGGGCCAGGTGGTGGGTCCTTTGAGCACAATATCCTCCAGCGCATTCTTGATCTTGATGAAGCGTCGCTTGAACTCCAGGCCACAGCCCTTGGACAGCCGGAAGTCCACCAGAATCTTGCCATCCATCTCGATGATGTGCGCCTTGAAGACCAGTCGCAGCTTATTCCGATCGACGGTGGAAACGGTGACCACGCCATCGTCCCCGACTTTGCACGTATAGCCACCCAGTCGCTCGATGGTTCCCACCAATCGCTTGATGGTGTCGTCCCACCGCGTGGTCACAAAGAATCGCGTCATCCGCCGCACCAAACGCTGGAAATAGTTCTGCGAGGCGCTGCTCTGCGTTTGGTTCATTTGCGTGGCCAACAGGAGATCGTCCAGCAGGGCTGGCTGTGAGAAGGAGTAACTGGGTCGTGCCTCCTGGGCGAAGGCCAGGCGATCGTCTTCCTTGGAGCGACCACTGCCCAGCCGCACATTGAAGTCATCATCGCTGCGCATCGTGGGCATGGGCTGGGAGCAATAGTTGCGCGAGATGGAGTCTTCCAGGCCATTGCTCAAGTGGGCACTCGACTGCAGACGCTGCCGCTTGGCCTTCGGCGAACAAATCTCCAGGGCAGCCGCCGAGTCCACCAGGTCATAGGAACGATCTGTGGAAGTAGAGAAGAGATTTTAGAACCTTAGAGTATGAATAGTAGTAAAGAAATAATTAATTAACCAATTAATTTAGCAGTAAGAAAATCAAACGCAAAAAGCAACTCAAGCAAAATGCAAAAACCATTTGGTTTTTGGTAATAAAGCTCTATGGAAATTATACACACCATACAGCTAAAATCACCAAAGAACAAATAATGCGCAAACAAAAGAGCAACTCATAAGTAAAATAGTATTAATAATAATAATAATTTAAAAAAATCACAACCCTTTGAAGATATATTCGCTGATTGATCTGCCAAAGCCAATGCTTTGGTAATCTAGCTTTATGAAGTAGTTTAAATCTATCATACAGCTAAAGCGCCAAAGCAACGGCAAAGCAGCTGCCTTACTTCAATTCACTTCTTATATTTATTTATTTATTATGTTCTTAAATTTAACACTTTATTTCTGCGGACAATGCCTAACTGGCGGCGCAGGCACAGGGCGACTCCCAAAATGTCGAAAGCATTGAGAGTCACTAAGTACCTGAGCCATCGAGTGGGCTTGAAAGATATGCACTGATATATACTATACACTCATATAAGAAATCCCTACCATTGTCTGCAAACTGCATGTTGCACCATTTGTGATCCAGGGTCTTCTCCAGGGTTAATCGCGTCCCAGGACTGGTGGACAAAAGCTTGCGGAGCAGGGAAATGGCCAAGGTGTCCAGCTTGCTCCAAGGAGTCTGCAGCTGCCAGTGATCGTTATCCTTCCAGTTGATAAACTCCGTGCAGTTAATGGACGGCTGATCCCAGGGCAGTTCTGAAAAAATCACCATAAAGCATATTAATTCACTGATTTTTTATAAACAAATAAAAACATAAACAAATTGACTTGGCAAGCAGGTGAAATGGTACAAAATCATTCCTTGTTTTTTGTGGCTGTTTGGTTTTTGCTTGTGCGTTGTTAAGCAATTTAAGCTGGAGCTTTGGTATAAAAGCTTTAGATGATATACAATGTGCGTGAAACAATCTACAGCTAGAATACCAAAGAAACAGCAAAAATGATAAATAGTGCAGGAGGAGAAATGTGAGCATAGAACCGAAAAAAAATGGGCAATGCATGTGACTGATTCCGTTAGATGCGATAAGCTAAATCGATGGCAATGCTCTGGAGTTATTTTCTTTGATAGGTTTTTCACTGTTTTTTTTCTGTTTGTCATGAGAGTGCACACAAAAATCACGCAAAATAATAAAATTGGCGAACAAATGTGCATTAACTGGAGAACGGATGTACAAATCGGATATTGCTCCCGTATTTTCACTTACCCCCCGCCAGCATAGTGACCAGAATAACGCCACAGGACCACAGATCCGCCGGCTGGGCGTGATAGGCCTTTTGGAGGACCTCCGGGGCCACATACGGCAAGGTGCCGCACCGTTTGTCCAGCAGTCGCTCCTTGCCCTTGCACCTGCTCCATGATAATGCCAAAATCACAGCAGATACCGAGAATTGCCGGAGAAACGGGTGGGAAGAGAACATAAAGAATTGAGAATTAGTTCGTGGCTTTAGTCAGTGATCACACAGAGCGAAATGTTAGGTATTAGATTAATTTTCCTAGAGTTATTAAAAAGAAAAATTATTTTCTAACGAATATTATGTGATATATGACAATTCTGTCTTTTTAAAGCAGTTTTTTCATAAATAAACAAACTGGAAAAACAAAGTGTAATGAGAAAATTCTTTCAACCTTTCCATAATTATTGACTTATTTTCTTGGTGTTTACCCATTTCGTTTAAACAGAAAGCTCAACCCAAAACAATAAAACGAATCAAAGGGAAAGAAAGATAAGCTCGGATTGCAAAGTATAAACAAATAAGCTTTACGTCCCAGAATTGATAATGATTTAAACGAAGTTTGCAAGTAAACTTATAATTGCTGACCATTTTTTTTGTTTGACGCAACTATTTTAAACTCTCTAATGCTGGCCAACGAATTAAATGAGTTTTCGCTTAGTTGCAAACTAAAAAACCACCAGGGGCATGTTTAGTTTGGCTGTTTTTGCCGACAGCGCTTTCAATTAACTATTCTGCTTGTTGGTCAGTTTGGCGCTGAAAAACTTTTTCCCTCCGGTTAGCCAGCGTTAATGGATTTTATACGTTTTCACGCAGTTTGGGTTTAATTTCAAATATATTTGTCTAGATTTAAATTTCCTGCAGGGGACCTTCTAAAAAAAATACTATCAGCTTGTTAATTTATAAAAATTAAACGATGAATTCTATTCTATTCTATATCCCTTTTGATTTTCTTTTACACCCAATCTATTTAGTTATACCTAATACCTAAACATGGTGGCCATGCCAAAGTCGGATATCTTCACGTTGTCGTGTTCGTCCAGCAGCAGATTTTCCGGCTTCAGATCCCGATGGGCGATCCCACGCTGATGCAGATAGTTGAGTCCGGACAGGAGCTGTGTGAAATATCTCTGGGCTTCATGCTGCGGCATTCCCACATCGGGCTCTGCAAAGCATAAACAAATGGAAATACACGATTAAAAAGGATCAAGAATTTAACTATTTTAAATATAAAGGCAGTTAAGGGATGACATTTAAAATAAAAACACCTGTCGCGGAAATTGAATTACAATTTTCGAAGCTTTTTGAATATACCTATATATTCTTTCTGCATATATGTATTAATATTTCTTTATGCACATTTTCCTGCGGAACTCGACGCATGGAAAATGGGAAAAATGTGCAGCAGAGCAAAACCACCCAGGACAGGTCAGTTTGGAGCAGGTGGAAAAACAAATGTAATGCATCAGGATGTGCGTGTGTGTGTAAAGGATTTATGGGCTTAGCCGGTTGCAGGTCCTTCGTTCAGTGGAACAACAACAGTAACAGGATGGGACAGCCGCAAAGCAATCAACAGTTTTATGAAATTTTAATCAAAGCCCGGACGCAAACAATGCCAAAATGTTTGTTTAGTTGCTATGTTTACCTGTTGGTTTTCTAGTCAAACTATCACATCTTGCTATCACTATCTTGCATTTCCGTCTTGGAATTTCTCTATAATATTAAAGTTGGCATATCTTTGACTAGGAGAAAAATGTACCTACCAAAATATAAATATAACTACAAAAGATACATTTTAATAATATAATTTTCCACCTTTTTCTTTACATTTGTCACAAATATCTGTTTCTATTGGTTATAAAAAGAAGTAAGGCGAAAGACCCCAATGTTTTCCCCACTTGTCGCCCACTCTGGAGTGGCACTCGGAAATGCATTAAAATAACCAGGCAGGAGATGCAGACGGAAGGAGAAACAAAGGACGTCACAAAGGAGAGGAGGTTATCTCCCAGGGTTACCGATAGCTAGACATATTGTATTTCCCCTGTCTTTCACCTGATTGACTGTCAAAGGCAGCCGCATCCTGCAACCGAGATCAAACGTCATCATCTCATTTCCCCCATCCATCCGCCACTTATTGATTTTACCTTAAGCCCTTAAACCCTCCTTGTTTCTGCTCTTGACTCTTTCATTTTGGTTGGTGCAGGCCAAAGGCGAAGCGAAAAAGCTGAATTATGTTTAGAAATTTGCATCGAGTTGAGGGAATTTGCCATTTCGATTGAATAAATTTGATAGTTCTTGAGTGCAACGTTTTAAGGCGAAAGGATCTTGAGAGAAATTCTAAAGAAAACATGAAATCTGATTTAAATAATATCTATAGAGGGTTATAAACCGAATAAAACAATTGCAATTCACAAGTGAGAAAGACTTGAGAGTCCTTGAAATCAATTAACATAAGAATGCCATAGAAATCCCCACCAATTTTAATTGCGTTTTTGTCCCAACCAATTTAAAAGAAAAGAGCAAACAATTGGCGAGTAAAAACTTCTAAGTAATCATTTTCCAACCGAAGCAGCATCAATTTCCATCGAGTTTTCCTTAAACATTTTCCCCAAGTTCTCTTCCTACTTTTTCCTTCTTGTTTGTTGTATTTCTTTGGCTTCTTGTCACTCTCAATTTGTAATACCTTAAATGTTGATTGTGTAGGGAGATAAAGTTGGGCAGGTGTGCCACGCCCACATCTATAGAGCCAGCCCCCATCTGTAGGTCCTTACTCAGTTTGCCCCATTGTTTGCCATTCATTTATCATGTGGCATGTTGCTGGTTGGCGCCATTTGCACAACTCTTTGGTCAAGGATAAAATTAAATGAAGGCGAGTACATCATGCACTAGGGAAAAAATTGCAGTATTTTACTCTAAAAATCTTTTTATAAGGAACGATATTATATATTTTAAAATTACTTAAAAGCTTTAATTGGTAAATATGATTTTTTAATATTATTTTTAATATCAATTAATTTTCCTCTTCTAGCCTTTTTTCTTCCAGTAAATGTATGCGAAATGATATCTGTTTAAGTACGAAACAAAATATTGACTGACTTTAAAAGCTCGAGTATCGCAAATAAAAACGGCGAGATGAAAACGTATACATTTGCATAAATGAGAAGCCGAGAAAGTAAGATGGAAGCAATAAAATTGCAGGATGTCAGTAACATTTTAGCATAATTAATTGCATTTCAGCAAGTGGGAGAAAAGTATCGCCGCCACCCAAAACAGTGGAAAATTATGCAAGGCATCGGGAAATGGTGGAAATTACTCGAAAATTTCATTTGTAATTGAAGCATAATTTATATCGAACCGCCCCTCGGATTGAGTGAATGACCAAATCGGTTGGGAATCTATAAGCCTCCCCTATATTTCATCCCACCATTCGGGGGCGTCGTATAAGCTTAATGAATGCATTTCTGTGCAAACAGACAATTAAACTCACACACACACGTGTGAGTTCGCAGTCGAGGACATCTGGTTGCGTGTGTGCATCTCCATTATGTTTCATTTGCATATTGAACCTATTTATGGCAAGCCATTCATTGCACTCTGTGTGGCTCCTCCTCCTGCTGCTGCTCCTGCTCCTGCACCTCCATCCCCATGAGCTCCTCCTCCCTTTGCTTCCCCCTGAGCTAACCAATTTTCTATCCTGGCGGGGAAAACAGGCGCTAGACCGCTAAAATCAAAAGCAGAGATGCAAGCGTGATAACTGATGATGATGCGATTTCGTGAGGTGAAATTAAGTGACCATAAGGTGAATTAAGGATCGTTAAAAAATAATATTATCGTAAAATACTATTAATAAAAAAAATAAACTATTTAAGTAAATAAGATAAAAATTTCACTCAATGCTATGGTAATTTATTTAAAGGGAATCCTTTAATTACTCGTAATAATCACAGTGTCCATCACTCGACATCTCTAGATATCATTAAAAATGGCTTAGCAACCGGGGGTACTAAATATGGCTGCCACATTGATTATTACACCAGCTCCCCGTGCAGCAAAGTGATGATGATGATGATGGTGATTGGGAATAGGCGAAATCGGGGGAGGAGTAACAGGATGAGGTGGCAATCAATGCAAGGACGCCACTTCCATTAGGGGCAATCTCTCTCCGTTTCCAAGCTCACTCTTCTGCTGCTGACCTTTTGCCAACAACCAAGCTGTTAATATTTATGAAAATGCCACGAGCTTGGCACCTAGCGTCGTCCGTCCCTCCGCTTTCCCCGCTTTTCCATTTCCCTCCTCGCCTGTACATTTGGCAAATTGTCATTGCAAAAGAGACAGAAAGCTGGCGTAATCAAGATACGTATCTTGTCAGTCTGATTTGTCGTTCCCGCTGCTGCTGCTGTGTTCCATGTTCCATTTCGATTCACTGGATGTGGCAGGCAGCAGGACGAACTTCAAGTTGCACCCACAAAAAGTACAACGAAGCCATCACACAATCCCAGAACCTCGCTGTCAGTCGGTTTGTTTTGCCCATATTGGCATATTTGCCCCGTCTGGCCGACGTCTATATGACTATGTGGCATCTGCGACAAACCCCATTCCATTTCGCTTCCTGCTTATATGAGTTTAGGTTGTGGCATGCCACACACACACATAGACTGAGGCAAGAATAATAATGAACCATAACTAAGAGCCATCTTATCAAATCACATTGAGAATAAAAAGAAGTGATTTCGTAAGAAGTACCCAACTTAAGATTTCTGTCTTTACCTGTTCTTATTTTTTACTAGCCAATTATCATAGTTTTCCAACTTTAAACTTGCTTTCATAATCCCCATTCACTAACCAGATTTGCGTAATATTCTGAACTATTTCAAAGCACGCTTGTGGGATAATTTCCTTTATTGGATTCTTGTTGGCCAAGTTTCATTCCCAGTTTCTGGCTTATGGCAGTCGAGTGGCCAGCAAACTTTAAGTAGCTCCTTCGAGAGGCTTTTGCTTTGATAAAGAAGCTCAGTTGGTGGTGACCCGGAATGCAATTGAGACTGGTGGAAACTCTTTTCAGATGAAGTGGGGTTTAGTTTAGACAGTCATGAAGCAATGCTCTTTAATAACCCAAAATATAGCTGATAAATCAGACTGATATATTAAGGGCTATTTTCTCATAGGTTTGTTAAATTGAAAGTTGGGTTTAAAGTTTAAATCTTTTAAGAACAGCAATTGTAAAATTAAGAAATCGTTTAAATTAAATCAAATAACTCACAATTATTGAATATATTGTCAGAGTTTAAAAGTTCCTTTAAATGTACTTTTTCAATAATTTTGAGTTATTTGATTTCATTTAAACGTTTTCGTAATTTTACAATTGCTGTTTAAGAACTAAATAACCCTACGAATTCACCAACTTTATGACTACAGACGATTTATTTGATTGTAGAGATCTAAAAACTTATAAATTAAACTCAAACTCACCGATTCGATCGAATAGCTCTCCGCCGGCGGCATATTCCAGGAAAATGTACTCCACGGTGCCCTGCGAGCGCTTACCGAAAAAGCGCAGGATATGCGTATCCTGGAGCATCTTCTGTATGCAGACCTCCTTGCGCACCGAGTTCGCCGCATCCGGATGCTTCTTCAGATCCACCATTTTCATGGCCACAGCCTCGCCAGTCTGCCGGTTGATTAGCAGCTTCACCCTGCATCAAGATATCGGATATAGTCGTGGGATTAGTATGGGATGGTATGTATATATGACGACGGATGCCGGACAAACTGCAGTTGCAGTTGCAACGTTGCTGTCTGTGTATCGACTGCTCTCCGTCCGGGTGCATCGAGTGCGCCGTATGCCTGTCGTTCGTACTCCCGTATTCCTCAAATTCCCCGGATCCCGAGACACCGGGGACATGCGCACTAAACAGCTCCTTAAAAAAGGCGGCGCGCAGCGGGTGCTTTCGGGATGAATGTATGTATATAGCGAATACGCCGGAAAAGTGCGTTTCAGTTAGTATTTTCATTATTTTTTTTTTGCTCTTTTGCTCTGCAGCATTTCCGGTTTATTGACTTCAACACACACAGACGCACAAAAAAGGAGGACAAATGCAAATTTAGACTTAAAATATAAAATACCAGTCTTTAAAATAAATTTAAATTTAAAATTGGCCATATTGTCATTTTTAAAGTTTCGTTATTTCATAATTTATGTACAATTTCAAAGTCATTTAAAATGATAATGATTAATGTCATCAGGGATAATTTATCTTTTAAGTTATTTGGGTATTTCTGTCTATACATTATCACTTATAAATAAAAGTAAATATTGTTGCGATTTCTAGCTGTAAATTCTACAGATTCAAAATAATAGCTCTACTAAGTTATGTGATGGAATTCGTTATTAATATTGAGACACTCACTCGCCGTAGGCTCCTTCGCCCAGAGTTTGGGCTAAAGTCCAACCCTCGACAAACTCCCTGGTGGCCGCAGGACCTGTTCCCGTTTCCGTAGCCGTTGCCGCCATGGTGTCCTGTTTTTCTGTTTTTTTCTCCCAACAGGGTCCACAGAAGTCCACGCTAATAGTTATGCCTCAGTTTTGTTGTTTTGCTGTGCTGGCTAGTGTTGATAGTTTAATATCCGGTTGGCCGTATCCTGTATCCGTGTTGTAGCCTTGCCGCCATGTGCGTGGCGTTGTCCTTGTCATCTGCCGCCGAATTCTCGCTTAGCTTTCGCCACCTCGTGCATATCTGTGTGAAAAGCGGAAAAATAAGAAAAACAAATAAGGCGATTAGTGGAAAGTTCACAAAAACAAAGAAAAAAGAATAGGGGCTAAAGGGATGAAGGGGGAATTTACAGACAACAATAACAAACAAAGAACGTGAAACTTTTCTAATTTCATGTTCCACGATTCCACAACGTTCCGCGGTGTCATTCACAGTTACTCGCCAAAACACACACAAGCGCAAAATGAAAAGCACATGGGGATGCTGAATTTGAAGTTTTGTGGTGTAGAGAAGCGAGAGCAGAAGAGAGAAAAAGAGCGGCAATCGTCAACTACTTTTTGCGGCCCCTTCGCAGTGACGCCGTTAATATTTCATCCTTTGGCATGGTCATGGTTCGTTCGTTCGCCTCTTCGGCTGTCCTTTCGGCTCTTTATTCGCGAGTCCTTCCTTTTTGCGCAGCCGCTGAGCAGCTTTTGCGGCAAAGAAAAAAAAAAAACAAACAGGAATAAAGCAATCGAAGCGAAGGACATGGAGTTGTAGAAAAGAGAATAGTACTCGTTTTAAAGACCAATATTTAAATTATTTTAATTTAAAATATTTAATTTGTTTTCATCACAGTATTCAGAAATTGCAAATTACAACATACAGTGATGAACTTAATTCTTGGCACACTTGGCATCTTGGACTTTAGGTTCAATTTTCTCCGACTAATATATGAATAAAAAAATTAAACAAAATTTGTTTATATAAAGGCCTCATTTTACTGTTTAAATAATTTGGTTTCATATTTATATCTCTTAAGACTAATTTTTTAAAACTCAAAAACGAAAAAATGAGCCTATTCTGCCCGAACAAAATTCTTGGCACACTTGTGTTGTATTTTACTATTTCGCCAAAACTTAACCGATTTGACTCATTTTTTTTGCTAAGTCCGCTTTGGCTTAGTTGTCTAGATGGTATAATGTTAAATTTGTATCCTTAAATCGTTAAAATAATATAATTTTAACGAAAAACGGTTATATAAAAGTATGTTAAATGCCATTACCCATATCTGTGCGAAAAATAATATTTTAAGGGCTGGATCAGGGTCAATCATATGCTAATATTAGGAAATATGTGCCCAGAAGTTGTTTTTACCATTCGGATCCTTTTACGGCGTTTTAAAGAACTCTCACTGTGCAAAAATGCAAGGCACATAGCCCGACCCATGGGTTTTAGAGGCCAGGGAAGCGAAAGGATCAAGAAAAAGGATAATGTCAATCCTTAGATTTTATAAGCACAGATCGAAGTTCAGGATAGGAAGGACTTTTCCAAGGATATTCAACCAATGGCATTTTTAAAGGCCCTGCAAAGTGCTAACTAAATTTTTGTGCAGCTAGAAAATATTCATTTATTTTGAAGGTCAACTTTCCGAGTCCTTAAGTCTATGGAAAGGTTTGGTATAGCACCTGATAAAGTAAAAAGGTTAAAAAAGTCGATTGAGATACTAAAGTATCCCTTTTTGTATCCTAAATGGTTATATTGGTGGCCTTTGAAATCACTTAATTTTTTCTAGCTGCACAAAAATTTAGTTAGCACATTGCAGGGCCTTTAAAAATGCCATTGGTTGAATATCCTTGGAAAAGTCCTTCCTATCCTGAACTTCGATCTGTGCTTATAAAATCTAAGGATTGACATTATCCTTTTTCTTGATCCTTTCGCTTCCCTGGCCTCTAAAACCCATGGGTCGGGCTATGTGCCTTGCATTTTTGCACAGTGAGAGTTCTTTAAAACGCCGTAAAAGGATCCGAATGGTAAAAACAACTTCTGGGCACATATTTCCTAATATTAGCATATGATTGACCCTGATCCAGCCCTTAAAATATTATTTTCGCACAGATATGGGTAATGGCATTTAACATACTTTTATATAACCGTTTTTCGTTAAAATTATATTATTTTAACGATTTAAGGATACAAATTTAACATTATACCATCTAGACAACTAAGCCAAAGCGGACTTAGCAAAAAAAATGAGTCAAATCGGTTAAGTTTTGGCGAAATAGTAAAATACAACACAAGTGTGCCAAGAATTTTGTTCGGGCAGAATAGGCTCATTTTTTCGTTTTTGAGTTTTAAAAAATTAGTCTTAAGAGATATAAATATGAAACCAAATTATTTAAACAGTAAAATGAGGCCTTTATATAAACAAATTTTGTTTAATTTTTTTATTCATATATTAGTCGGAGAAAAATGAACCTAAAGTCCAAGATGCCAAGTGTGCCAAGAATTAAGTTCATCACTGTAAGTCAAGAAAATTAGTCTAATATTTTCTTATTCTGCCCACTGTAATGCTTTTAGTTGTTGTACATTTTGCGTCGGTATGTATGTACACCATGTTTGCTAGTACACTGTGTGGGTGGATATGGGATTTGGAGGGGAAAGCAGGAGATTCCACAGAATCTTTCCTCTTCTCATTCCCCTAGAAATTTGCGTACTTGTTTCCTCTCTTTTCCCCTTTCCTTCCGCTCTGAAAAGCTCTCCCATTAAAACCCGCTCACATTCTCCACACAACCCCCCACAAACTCCACATTCTGCAAAAATATGACGTAGTCGTTCTGCTTGACTAGCTCTAATTTAATGACCGTTGCTGTTGCTCTCTGAGCTTGCGCTCAAAAGAGAGAAGCCGCGATTCGCAGGGAGAGAGGATGCTGTTGCTTTTCTTGTTCAACAGGCCACTATTAACATTTTTTACGCGTGTGTATTTGTACATTCAACAGAGTGGAATTTTTCCTACTTATTCGCACGGGTGTGTGTATTTGAGGGTTTCCTTTCGTTTCGTATTCCTTTTTTTTTCTTTGGCTATTTTTAGGTTCCGCCATTTGAGGAGCTTCCTAGTAATACTTTCTCCCCGTAAAAATGTTTAAATAATTGAAAAGTTTCAAGAAAAGTCGTTTTTGCATTCGCAATGAGCTTCGATTGTCATGCAAATTGAATTGCGGGATTATGATAAGATAGGGGATGGATAACTAGGGTTAGCTTTTGTCGTTTACTGCTCCGTAAAGGGATCTGCGCGTATTATCCTTTTTTACACGGAAAATAATAAGAAGGGAAGTCCTTCTTTTAATTCAAAAATGTTCACAACACATTTACACCTGCCCTTCAAAGTTTAGTTACTTTGTTTGAGAAAATATGAGTATCCTGGCTAAATTATTTACACAAAGGAACCCTTTTCGCCGTGTGACAGAATCACTATGGACGGCAGTCCATGTAGTGACGAAGCGCACCAGGAGAGTGTGCGAAGGCGACTACTATTATATAGCCGCAAAAATGAAAATCTGCTGTGATAGTCCGATCGTAATGAGTAATACACCAATCGAAAGGTATTGCAAAAACTTAAAGGATTGCATACCAAGACCTCAAGAAAATCAATTGGTTTGGGAAAGAGAGCGGTGAAAGTGTAAAAGTGAAAATTTAGAAATTTGGATCTGATGGGGCCGTTGGGGATAAATGCCCCCTCGCAATGTTTTAGTAGTTTTTCTATTAAAAATTCCCGTCGAATGAGGGGTCATATGATAAAATCCGACGCTCCGTTCAAAAGTTATAGCCAAAATAAGATTTTCTTCTTCTTCCCAAAATGAAATAATTTGTCCCTTTGTTTGTGGGTATGCATCAAATCGTGGTTTTAGGATCCTGAACTAAATTTTACTGTGCTTAGCAGCAGGATATGAACAACGTTTGTTCTACAACTTTTGGAAAAACCCGCTAGTTTGGCGGGAAATCATTGAAAAAGCTAGATTTTGACGGCTTATAGTTTCTAAACGACCAAAGCTACAGACTCGTGCTACACCTCGTTAAAAAGGTAATTTAAAATGCTAATCGCGTTGCCTTGGGTAAAATTGGCTTAATGCAATAGTTTAAAATGTATGGCTAAAAGTTGTTTTTCTAAATCACTTTTTAGCTATTTTCTCAAAAAACGGCTCTAACGATTTTCTTTACAACTTTAAACTGTATAGCCCTTGAGATTCCTTAAATTTTGGTATATAACACATTACTGTAAAAAGTCACGTTTAAAAGTTATTTTTATACGAAAATAGCCACTTTTGCCAGCTCGAACAACTAACGCTCCTGAGTATTGAATTTTGTGTGAGGGTATACGAACTGTATTTTGGGGTCATGGAATCAGTAAATTTGCACTTAAGAGTTCCATAAAGGAATCTTTTGTTCTACGACTTTTGGAAAAAGCCGCTACTTTAGCGGGAAAAGCTAAAAATAGCTAAATTTCGTTAGTTTGTAAGTTCAACACTACTGAAGGTACAGACATGTGCTAAAACTCGTTTAAAAGGTATTTTGATATACTTCATCGCCTTTTTGACTTAATTCGTTTAAATACAATGGCTTACAAATTATGATTGACCAATTTAAATTTAAATGTATATATTAGCTCCTATGAGAGCAAATGTAAACAAACAAAAACTTCTGATATCAAATAAAAACACCTCTTAACGAGGTAAAAAACTAGTGACGATCGCACCTTCAACATACAAAAGTTCTGATATCAACATTTGTGACGAAAAATTATTACACTCGTCATTAAATAGACTTTTTAATATTTTCTCATTCGGCACGCTGCAATAGAAAATGCCTGTAAAGGGAAAACGGCTGGAATAGTTTGCTAGGGCGGGCCGAATGAGAAAATATTAGAAAGTCTATTTAATGACGAGTGTAATAATTTTTCGTCACAAATGTTGATATCAGAACTTTTGTATGTTGAAGGTGCGATCGTCACTAGTTTTTTACCTCGTTAAGAGGTGTTTTTATTTGATAAAAGATAAGGATATGAAGGTGTGGGTGAGAAATGGGAAGATATAGGATAACATGTGTTACACTGCTTAAGCTACAACTAAAAAGTGGTAATAAAAGTTCTCGGAGGACGGAAAAGGGGGCGTGTCAAAGCACGTGTTGACAGCCCAAGGATAAAACCTCAAAAGTGATGGGCAGCCCAAAGGGGAGAGAGGAGGAAACATAGGGAAAGGGAGGAAATGGAGGACAGATGATACCGGATGAGTAATGAAACTCCACTAAAAACTTTGACAAGTTTTCACAAAACTTTTCACAGAAGCATCCGAAAAAAGTTCAGCCAGAGATATCAAAGTTAGAAAAGTATGTTATGGACAAATTTCAAGAACATAGGGACGAGAAAGAGAGAGGTACAGCCCAAATTAGTTTTAAGAGCTTTGTTAAAGTTTTGGTACTAGAAATCTCAAGGAAATTATTTAAGAATTAAGAGAGACGATTTTTTTATATTTTTTGTTTAGGCTTTTCATAAATTGTGAAAATTTAATAAAATTGTAAAAAATTCTTTTGAAGCGTAGGCGATTTTAAAATATAATAAGTAAAAATATGTTCTATGACTGTAAAACGCTAAACATACCCCCAAAGGCAGAACCCAAATCATTAAAAAATTGTCATCTGTCAGGCAATGCTTTATAAATGATATGAGCTTGTTCAACAAAGAACTATAAATTTGTCTTGCCTTTGCATTTGGGGACCTTTTTTATCTGAAAAAATAAATGACTAAGAAAAAAGAAAAGGTTTCCTTTTTTTAAACAGAACAGTCCGATCAGATAAATGTCTTTTTCTATGAACACTTTTGATTAGCTTTGTGTAATGAAATCTGGGGAAAATCCGGTGACTAAACACTTCGGTGAAAATGAAGTTCACAGGAGCAGGAAAGCGGAAAAGTTCGGTAGGAGGTGTGGACAACAGACAGCTGGAAAAGGATTCAGAAAACCCTATCCTAAACAAACAAGTTACAGAGTAAAAATCAAATAAAATTAAAGAGTCAAACGAAGCGCACACACTGCAGACTGAAAAGCTATGGGGTTAAAGAGCGATGGGCGGGTGGAAAAGGGCTGTGGGTGGATATTGGAGCGTGTCTTTGTTGCCACACCAACACAATCTCACATTTAGCTCTACTCCACCATTTTCATGGCTTGGTGGCAAAGGCTAAAAAGCGAGTCAAGTTGAAAAAGCTAACTAAAATGAAAATAATGGTGTGAGAAGCAAGTTTCGATATTACACAGTGAATAAAAGGATTGATTAACTATTACTTTAAATCCAAAACAAACCTTTTTAAACAGATACATAACTTTCTAGTTTGATAACATTATAGTATCTCCGAAGAATATCCCAAATGGGATTTTTTAGACAGCTCCAATCTATACAGTTTGAGAAATGTCCTTTAAGACAACTCCTATTTCGAAGATCTTAATTTAATTACAGTGAATCAAATGCTAAATTATTTTCAGTGTATTCCTGGACAAGTGGCTTTTTTCGAATGAGGGAAGGGGACGAACTAAAAACTAGTCGCCGGCTGAGTGGGCAAAGGAGCAGACTGAAAACCAGCAACGAGTAAAATTAATGACATTGTGGGTAAGTCACATCCAGTCTGGAGAGCATGGAGTTCAAGTCCGGCAAAAGAGTAAGTCAGACTATAGGAGACTACGGGCCATGGTCAGCATGCTGGCTTTATTGGCTGATGCCAGAAAATCCTGTAATGACGTTGGTTAATGGTTAGCCCAAGCCATTAGCTCCGATTTCTAACAGGGGATTTGGTTTCCAACAGAAAGCTAGGAGTGGGTAGTACAAAAACGTGGATTATAGGAAATGGATTGCAGTAAACAAATTTATGAATGCTCTTTTATGATTTGACAGAGAATTGCAAAGCATAAGACCCCGTCGACAGTAGAAGGTATTAGCCTCATGTGGTCTTAAACTAATTATTCTTTTAGCTAACAATTTTTTCAACAGTTGAATAATGTTTAGTTTTGGTTTACAGATGGGAAATTGGTTGATAAATTAAAACATTATAGTGATAGTTAATAAGTTATTAATATTAACCTTTGAATAGAACTTAGAATATTTTAAAGAAAGTTTAATTTTTTGACATTGAAATCCATAAATTTTAAGAACTTTTTGTTAGATTTAAATTTCACCTACAGCCTATTATAAGAAGTAAAAATTAAATTATAATTAAACAAAATTTAATGTATTCTTTTGAAGTAATTGACTGCAAACCTAACCAGAAGGGGCACACTCCAATCATCATTATAGAGCATTATGATCTGTCTCGTTTGCGATGAATGATATAGCCCACTAATTGCAGCAGTGGATGCCCTGCTTTATTGATCGCTTGGGGATTATGCAGATGCCACAGGAGGCTGTCTTTTTCTTTTTTTTAATTTTGCATTTTATCTACCGGTTACAGGCGGTCGAAAAACCACGGGCCTCAGAGACTGAGGAGTGGACTGGAAGACTTGAAGACCTGAAGACTCGAAGGCTCTTGGCAACAGCGGGGAAGATATAACTTCGTTACCAGGACAGAGAGTCGCTGAGGTGTCTGTGTGTGCGTTCGTATCTGTGCGGGGCCGATAAGGCTAAGCAAATACGAGTTTTGTAAAGTATTTCAATTTGAACATTCGCTTTTTTCCCATCTTATTTTATGCGCCCTGTACATGAAGCACAAGCTGCAGGAGAAGAAGAAGCAGCAGAAGGAGGCTGCGAACAGGAAAGCCAGAAATGAAAAAAGATATTGCATGGCCATAAAAAAGCCACACAGATACACACTAACACACGGGTACAGTGAGAGAAAAGGACGGGCCTAACAGGCTGGCAGACAGACGGACAAGTGGCCAGACCAGCGCTGCAAGTTTTTTCTTGCGTTTTTATTTTATTTTTTTCTACATATATATTTTTTGTTTGTTGCTTTTCTCCCTGCTCCGCTGGTAACCTCGAGTTTTTCCTTTTTATTCCGCGGGCGTTGCAAAAAAAAAAAAGAAGGGGGACAAGACGCACAAGCCAAAGAGTGGCTGAAAAAATATAAATTAAATGCCGCATGTGCAATTTGTTGTGGTTTTTAAATATACTTCAGAGCAAGTTAAAGTGTATTTAATTAAAAGAAATTCAAGATAACTTTGGGTTTTAAAAGTTAATACTTTTTCAAAAAGTTTGCCAATTTAACTTCTTGCTGAGTAAATACGGATTATCTAAAACGATTTTCCTTATTACTTCTAATAACACAGGTTCGGTGGTTGTGTATAGTTGAAAACGGTATTGTAATTAGAAAATATACCTATTTTTCACTTGCAATTTGGTTTTTGTGTTTTTAATTTTCATTTCTAAAATCGTAAAACTATTGTCTTGCGGATTGTATTTCATCTGATCTTTCATAATTCGATTGTGTGAATTGGGCTTTCTTACTAGATAAGTTTTTCATTATTTTACTTATTAAAGGTATTTTCCTTCTTTTTATTTTAAGGTAATGCGGGAAAACTTTTTTTAGTCACAAATTAACGATTATTTATTGTTTACTTAAAGATTTGATAAATAATGGATTGTTTCTTACATTTTTATGTTGTTCTCTGCTTCTTTTTTGTCGACTTAGAGCAAAAGAGCGCCGAACTTTTGCAAAGCGGTTTTTTTGTCGGCTTCTTCTTCAGGTTCATCATCTTGTTCTGCTTCTAGGAGATTGAGGAACTACCCCGAAACCGAAAGCCGAGAAACCGAATAAGAACCGAACCGTTTTGTCCTTTTTTTTTGGATTTTGTCGAGAAAGTCACCACTGAAAAATGTCTTCCGTCCCTTTTCTTTGTTGCCTCCTGAATGGATGCGGCACACAAACGCACACAGACGTATCCGGTGTCCTGCGAGCCGCGTTTTGTCTGTATCCCAATTTTAATGAAACAGCCTCGTAGTCCTTGCACTCCCCCTCCTCTCGTTTCTCTCCTTGCCACGCCATCATCCTCCTGTTCGGTTCGATTGAAAAGCGCCGCCTACTACTGCAGTAGTAGTTGTACTACTATTAATTTACTATCACGATGCGGCGTGGTTTGGTGTTTGAATTCTTTCGCTGTCGGTTTATCCTGTGGCAGGCGCTTCGTCCTGTCTGAGAGTTGAAGTCCAACTGCCGCCTAGGTCCGACCGAAAGCCTCGGTGGAGACTCGAAACTTCCAGAGAGCGCAGGAGAGACCGGGAGAGCGGGAGAGAGCTTACGCTTGCGCGCGCCAAAAACGAAAGGCAGGAAGGGAACAGGATGGAGGGATAGGATGCCAGTGGCCGTGGTGGTGGTGGACTCCTCTCGCTCTTCCTCTTCTCGCAGCATCTGGCAAGTTCAACTTGCTCTCTCGCTCAAGTTCAGCACTGCACAGTGGGACAGCAATTCTGCTTAATTAAATTGTTCAGTAACTAATAAGTTGTTTTATCCTACAATTAGAACAAAATTCACGAATGTCAAAATAACCAACGGAAAGAGTTTAAAATTTCAAGTCAACTAAAAAATTGTCTCTTATTTTTCATCAGCCTTAATAAAAGTTGGGGTATTTTCTGTGGTTTCATCCCACTGTGCGCTGGCTGCTCTGACCGGCGCTGCAGAGGCTGAAAGCCGGCTACCGGCGAGGGCTGTTGCTCCTTTTGGCTATTTCCCTCTCTCTTAAACTACAGCACAGTGGGTAACGGAAGTCGAATTTCAACAACTTGAACTTCCTAACTTAATGTCTTTAGAAGTGAGAAATATTGGCACCCAAACTTCTTTAATTTGAAGTCTCCAAACTCTAGTTAATTTTTGATGTATTCATTTTATTTTGATGAATTTCTAACCCCACTGTGCGTTGCTCACCTTTCTGCAGCTTCAGTTGACTTCGCGTCAGAAATTCTCGCCGCAGCTCGTGTGCGTAGGAATTGGAGTGGACCTTGTGAAAAGCTCTTTTGTGTACATTTCTATATACATACATACAAACATTGCGAAATTTGATATTTTGGGAGTAATTGGATTATAGGTTTAATGGTTGACTGCCTTTGATAAGTAAACAAAGTTAAAGTTGTGTGGTTGGTCCTAATAAAATGAAATAAAATGTTCCCTTAACTTCTAGTTTTTGAAATAATATTTTTTAGGCACAGTTAGAATAGAAAATATGTGCTACTGATCCCCAAAAAGTGAGCTACAAAAAATGATTTTGTTATATTTTTACCGCATTTTGGTCCACCCCAAAAAAAGTTCCTGCACATATTTATTTTAATAGCTTACGCCATTTGTCGAACTGCTTCTTTATTTTTGATTTCGCTTCGCCTTTCGCTCATCGAATAAGACCGCGACTTCAGACTCGTTTACATACATACATATACATATGTAGGCGATATATGTGGATGGTTTCGTCTGTCCCGCTCCCCAACGACTGTCTCCTTTTCGCTGACTACATCAATATTTATTTATGTACATATATTTATGTACAACTGCGTACCAACAACAATAGCAACAGACCTATGCATAGGACACAACAACTACAGCATCCATTTCACCACTAATAACAACAAAAACTTCTGCTTGACAAACCCGCAAAATAAAGGAAGGGAATAAAGTAAAGAAAATCGGAAAAGAAGAAAAAGGAAACAAAAGACGCACGCGGTTGCCACGGAAACTGAAAACTTTAAGTCGTGTGTGTGGTTGTGCGAGTTCACACTCTCAGGCGAGAAGAGAAGCTGCGAGCAAAAAAGAGATGAGAGAGCAACAGCCGCCGAGAAAAAGGAGACACTCAGCCTCAACTCCCACCGCCCAAATACAGTACAGCTTCGATAACTTAACGAAACTGCAAAACGACAGTTGAATTCCCTTTTCGAAAATATAAAATGCATAACTACATACTTTCAAGAATATCATATTTTATAAATTCAAAATTTACAAAAAATAAACATGAAAAAATTTTTTTTTGGCAGCAAAAAATTTTTAAAGCACTCAATACCAAAAAACAAATAAATATTAATAAATATTTAATTAAAGATGTGAAATGCACATAGAAATTTTAAAAGTTCGAGTTCTAGAAGTTGGACTGTTTTTACCTCCCTTACCTACTTCCCAACTCTCGACACCCCCAACTCCCCTTTAATTTATTACGTGCTGTGAGCAAATTTCTCAATGTTATTCCATAGTCTCTGGGACAGATTATTAGGCTTAATTGATTGGCGCGTCGGTTTGGTCAAATTAATAATAGTTCCCAACACAACAACAATAGCATTCAGCGGAAGGGGGGTTTATTGATTAAGGAATTATTATGCTCACTCCATTTTCTATAAGTTTGCGAAATATTCACTTCATCCACTGATTGAATTAGAGAAATTGAATGGAAATTAAGTACATGCTATGAGCGCTTAATTGATCTAATGTTTCGCGAACTAAACAACCCCCCAAAAGGTTTTTCGAATCAGAATGTTTTGATTATGGTTTGCAAATAAATGCTTAATAACCTCAACTGATTATTTCTGGCCTTGATGCTTTCTGAAAAGCACAAACTCACTTTCATCAATTTTGACACTTGTCAGAAACACAAAGTAATTGTCAAAGAGTAATATTTTTTTAAAGCTCTGTGCCATTAAAGTGTTGTTAAAACCCTGCAACTGCAAATAGGTTATTTTCTAAACTGCTGAATTGCTGAAAAATAGAGTAATTAGGAAAAATACGAAACTAAAAAAAAAAAGAAAATTACACAATTACATTTTATTATTTTCCTCGCTGCTTAAGGACTTTATTTGCTTTAAATCGCTAATTTTAAACGTGTTTGCCCCCACACATACCATCTGAACCAAATGAACTTAAAAGTAAAACCTGTTAGATAACTTAACTATATTTTACAAATATGGACTAAAATTGAATAGTTTTTTATTAAGAGAGCTGTCGTAGTACCTATCGCTTCATAAAAATTAGTTTTAAACACTGCCAGTAGTCATGACAGTCCAGATCTGAAACTTCAGTTTGGACAGAACAGCTTTCATGGTTTTCGTGCTAGCGCTGTTTTGTCAAAAAATTTATATTCTTGTGCTATTTTACAATTTTTATAGGTAAAATGGATAAGAACCTTGCCTATCCAGCACGCTCGCTGTCGGGGATGCTAAAGAGGGAACTTGTGCAGGAGCTCCTGGAAGAACGAAAACGGGGTGCTGAATATGACCAGAAACTGGACGAGCTGGCGATGATGAGTGAGGTTCAAAAAGAAAAGGTTAAACTGCTAAAACAATTGGAAGAGGAAAATCAAATAGCTGACGATTTGCGCCAAAGGATTGAGGCCCATCAACTAACAATCAATTCCGAGATGGCCGAGCTGGGGGCGAAGCTGCAGGAAATAAGTCAAGAAAATAGATGCTGCATTTGTTTAGCGCAATGGTTGGCGAAGAGCGACCATCGCCTGGTTTCCCTAAAATGCGGCCACCTTTACGGGGAAAAATGCATTCGCACCTACTTGCAGCAGTCAAATCGATGCCCAGAATGCAGGGTTCTAGTCCTCGAAATAGACATCCGTCCAGTCAATCTTGTTAAAGCCTCAAAATACAAGTGAAGACGGAAGCGCTTCAATGGAATATAACAATTTTAAAATGATTTTTTTGTTTTTCTTTTGATGAATTTATTTGGCTTGAATTGATAACAAGTGCAGGAATCTATAAAATACAACAGTTGAAGATTCTTCACGGAATAATACCGGTTTTCTATTGTCGGTATCGATTTAGAAATTAATAAGAACGCTATAGTCGAGTTGCTGCATGGTTGCATAAATATTTTACATATGCTTTTCGAATTTCATTTGTTTAATTAAAATAAATATTTGTTTAACTCTATGGGTTGCATTCTAATGGGTTATTTAACACCTGTAAAAATACAGATCCCAAATACTCTACAAATTCATTTAATCCTATAAGGACATTATGTTGAATGCTTTTTTGATTATTGCTTCCAGTGTAAAACGAGTTATAGATATAAAAATGTAAAACCTAAGCCGGGTTTATTTACCTAAATCAAAAGACCTACGAAAACAAAAGTGGCCTGTTTTACACAAAAAACTGTCGTGTTCTTGGTTTTTTGATTTAGATAAATATAGGAACTGCTTTTTGGGATTCTTTTGTTTGGTTATTGCTTTGGGGTCGTGGCTTCGTACTGCAGCTGATGTCTCTTTTTTTGACCGGGCCGCCGGATCCTACGTTTTCCATTGATTTCGTGCTCACTGGTTGAGATAATCGGCTTGGCGAAGGTATTCTTCTCATCCTCCTGGTCGAAACTCTCTTCCAGCGGTTGGTAGGGAATCTCCAGGTACTTCTCCTTCTCCGACTCCTCTGACTTTGCCTTTTCCGGGCTGCTGTCCAAATGGGATTTAGCAGATCCGTACAGGCTATTGGAACTCGACGAACTTTCGGCTGTGTGAAAGGAATCGCTCAAGGATTCGTTGCCACTATTGCGAGGTTTCGGTCGGGGCGTCTTGCGTGGCTTGAAGAATTCCGGATCTGTGATGAGGGGAAAGCTCCGACGGCCGTTCTTTATGATGTGTACGGGTCCTTCGTGAGGTTTGATCTCGGGCAGGACGGGCATCGAGTCCTCGGCCATGGACATATGTCCGAAGTGCCTCATCATGGCCACCGCCTCCATTTCCGCGGTGCTCGTGTCCTCCCAGTCGGCCATGGTGGCGTGCTCCCCCAATGGCCGGGTGCCCGCGATCTTCTGGATCTTCTCCATCATCTGAAGGCAGTCGCGGATTTCCCGGCCTTTCCCATTGACCTGTTCCAGCTCCGAATTGCGCTTTTCCCGGGCACTCAGATATTCGTAGGTGCTCTTGGGACGCGGACAAAACTCCTGCTTCTTCTTGGCCTCGTAGGCCAACTGGCCGTGGATGAGGTTAAAATCCGGCTCCATGTCCACCAGATCCTCCTCGAAACGCGAATTGGGAACCCAGGCCATGATCGTGTTTGATCTTGAAGCGAAATTTAGTTGTTACTTTTGTCTGCATCAGCCCTAACCTCAAACTCACCTTAAAACTCCCCAAACTAAATACAAAAACAATTGAACAGTAAACTCCGGAAAATTCAGATGATTCGTGGAATTTTTTTTGAAGTCAATTCAGTGTGACCTTATGCTATGGAACAGGAAAATAGCGTTAGGCTATTTCTGGGCAGAGCTCGTGCTGTGGTGAATTTGGGCGCACCGGTGTGTGGTGAATAATATTGCGCCAAAAAGTCAAACAAAACTAAAACGGGGGAAAAGGTGGAGAAAGGGGGGCACACGGGGGGCAGCCAGCAAGTCATTAAATAAACAAAGCGTCGCGTCCCTCGAATCAAGATATGGTATGGCCTTAAATTATGCACCAGCCAACTCAACTCACCAGCGGCGTCTTTTCCGGCTACCCGTTTTGCTTTTGTGGCTACGTCTTCACGGAATATTTGCTCCTGTTTTTAAATTTATAACTGTTGCGGCTCACCGGGACACGAAGCACTTATTCACAGCTATCAAGGCGTTATTTGCAGCAGAAGAGTGAGGAAAATGCAAAAAATCTGCAAACGCTGCTGAAATTCACTTTACTTGCTGGAACTAGTGTGACCGCGCTGAATAACGAACAAAAATACCATCCGGGATAAAAATAAATACCATTTCAGTTTTATAAATACCATACATACCGTATATACCACTAATTTAAAAAATCATTTTTCTGATTTAATTTTTTAAATATAACTTATGTTCTGAATAACATTTTAAGAATATTCAACCTATACTTTTTTTTAGCCTAAAATAGTTGTGATCTGATATATCGTACACTTAACTCTTAAAACAACAAGATATTGCTGTTCTCAACAATATATAAACTAAACTAAAAAATACATTTTTCAATAGTTTATGTCCCCTGTTTCGAGTACATATCCTTGATGATCTGCAATCGAGTCATTCGAGTGGCGCATAGCCACGAGTCCTTGATTTGAAAGGCCTCGAACTGCTTGCGATCTTCCTTAAATGGCTTGTAATAGACGTCATAAATTATCCTCAGGATGCGCTGCACATTCGCCTGCGAGGGTTTCTTTGCTTGATTTCGAAATATCTGGTTTCTGGACATCTTTGTGTATCTGCCGTCGTCCCACCAATCGGGAAAGTCATCCGTATCTTCAGATTTGAGGTCCTTTTCCTCTTCATTTGTGGGAGTAATTTGGTGTACAGCCTTTGGTGACAATGAGATCGTTAGGAACTCCTGCTATTCGCTAAGAGTTATGTCTTACGTGCGGCGTACTCCAACTCCAGGCAAGTTCTATAGGCGTGGACTCTTTGGACTCGGCTGGTGGCTCCTCCTCAGTCAGCATTTCGACTAGAAGCTCCTCTTGCTGATCATGTTCGGCCAAAGAAAGGGCCAACTCATCATCCAACTCCTCCATTTGCTGCTGGGCAAAGACAACTTCCGACTTCTCGACAGCTAAGTCCAGTTTGGTGGGAGCTCCGGGCGGCGGATCTATTGATTGGAACCACCGCAGCTCGCCATTTACATTGACTGCCTGTGGGTTGCGTAGAATAGACTATCAGTAAAGGCTCCATTTGGTTATAAAAGATAAAATGTGTAGCTTACAATGACTTGCTTATCGCTAATGTCTCCCTGAATTATCTGCGGTTTGCAAATGGTGATTATGGGCGGCTGCTCCTCCTCCTCGTATACAAAATCCAGCTGATCGTCAGCCTGCTCCTCGCCAACCAGGTCCTCCATCAAATTGCTGAGCAAATTCTCCTTTGGCTTGGGCAGCGCTGTTTCTACCTGAACGCCTGAATTTGATTGAATTTCCTCGCTATCCAACTGCTCCTCCAGTGTTTGAATGTCAGGCAATTGATCCTCTAGCAACTTCTGTTGCTCCCTCTTCTTCTTTAGCTTCTGATCCTTTATCTTCTGCCTCTCTAGCATCTCTTCCTCCATCTGCAACTCCTGGCGCAGTTCCTCGGCCGTTTGAATGGCCTCCTCGATGCCCGAGTGCCGCAACTCGTGGTGCCGCTTGAGATTGGCCTTGCGGTCGGAGCTGTAGGTGCACAGGGAGCACTTGAAGGTCCTGTGGCTCTTGTCCGGCCGGTTGTGCACCATCAGGTGGCGCTTGAGGTCGTAGGGGCGATTAGTCTCGTAGCGGCAGCCCATCACCTGGCACTGAATCTTGGCGCTGCGATCCGGGGACGAGGTCTCCGGCAGGCGATCCTTGGCCTCCGGATGCTTGATGGAGATGTGCCGCTTCAGGTTGGAGCTCTTGTCGCTGCTGTAGACGCAGACGGGACAGCGGTACAGCTTGTCGTCCAGCGGCACCGCGTGCCTCTCCTCGTGCCGCGACATATTGTAGGGCCTGTTGGACCTGTAGGGACACCTGGCCACGCGGCAGCGGAACCTCCAGACGGCGCATTCCGCCTCATCGGAGGATTCCTGGTCCTCGCTGAGCATCGCAAATGGGATTTTGGTCCACTGATGCCTCTACTTTATGCTGTTGCTACAGTTCCAGCCGCCACCATATATGCTTTTCTGTATGCCTTAAGGATCCGCTCATATCGCTGGATAACCGAAATTTGTGTTACAATTCCATGGATTTTGTAATTAATTTTTATTTATAAACAGTTTGGCTTTGTTTTTATTTTATTTCATCGATAACGATAAAAATACCATATTTCCTTAAAATAAATACCAAGTCACTGCTTATGTCACGGCTATCGAATTATAGCCATCTCTAGCAGTGTTGGCACAAAAACTCGAACAAAAGAGGCCCACAGGGTGATTCCTGCTTGAACCGGTGTTGGTAAACACTTGTATATATGGCGCGGTCTTTTTAAAAATTTGAAAATGATATGAATTCTGAAATGAGTAAGAAATTAGAAGAAAATTCAACATTTTTAATGCCAAATAAAAGGTAGTAATTTTTGATTAGAGATAGAGGGCCCACCCAAATGCCACCCCCCAAACCAAGCGACCTCCACTTGGCTGAGTTCATTGTCCTTGCCGCCTTTTTACTACAGGACACATGCGCCCTGCATCGCCTGCAGCCGGCTTGGCGTATTCATTGAGTTTTTGGGGCCACCATTCAGCTTGCAATTCCCCCCTCAGCCCTCCTTTCAAAACTCGGTTCAGAGTTCGTCTGGGCTGTAAGACTCGGTTTTTCGATCGGGAGTCCTTGCAGTTTTTAAGCTGTTTCGAATTTTCCAATCGCTCAGTTGCATGTCGACTGCTGGCCAAGGCGCACGGAAAACTCGGAAAAACAGCGGGCAACCCAAAAATATTTTCAATTATTAAAGTGCAAAAAAAAATATTGTTTAGTTTGACCAAAGGAGAGAAAAAGTAAATTTCATGTAAAAAAAGGGCTAGTCCTATACTGTGTGTGTTTGCTTGTTTGTGTCGGTGTCTAGGCCATTAAAATAATTGCACAAATATATCCGGTTATGCTGCCCCCTGTTAACAGCAACAGGGAATACCAAATAAATAAACAACCCCCCCAGAAAAAAAACACGTTTTAATTGGTTAGCCAACGCCCCCGCCCCATGTTAAACCCCCCTTTGAACCCTCAACTTTTCTGTGTTTGCCTTTCTAAATTGGCATAAATTCATTTATGGGTCAAACACCCTCTTCAAAGTTACCAAACCATAGAAAAAAAATGTATAAAAAAGTAGCCCCCATGCACTTGGCTGTATTGGTGTGCGTTTTTCGTCTTTGTGTGTGTGAGTGTGCACTTCCGGTTGCACGGCACGTAACGGAAATATGCAGTGAAAAACCCCTCCCAACGAATTCAAAATTTGAAATTGCGCAAGGTTATTCCAAGTGAAAGAGAAACCACAAATACTCGCAATAATTCTTAAATATTCTTAAATAAAGCTAAAACCGCCTCCATCACCCACTCATTAGTCAGTCAAAACGTGCAATTAAAGCCAAACAAAGCAATCATGAAAATTAAATGAAAATATTGAAAGCGATTTTCGTTGCCAATTTGTTTATAATTCAAACGATATGTTTTTCATCTTTTTCGCGCCGTTCCTCACGCAGACGTAAACAATTAAAGCAAAACGAATTGGAGAAATCTAAGGCCAATATTGGAATATTATTCAATTTTGATGCTCTTGCAATAAGTAAATGTTAAAAAATGTTTTTTTTTAATTAAGTTTAAATGTAATAAAAAGTTAAAAAACATGTTTTTCTTCAGATTTATTTTCCATTTATTTTAATAGAAAGTGTGATGTTTTTTTTTTAATTTTTAGACCCTTGCAAGAGTATAGAAATTTTCGGAAAAAGTATTGAAAACCCAAATTCGATTTCGTGAGAGTTTCGCGCCACCAAATATTTTTATTCCGTTTCAATGATTTCAGTTTTTTGGCCGGAATCAGTTTTCAATTTCGTTTTGATTTTCGACCTCTGACTTCGTAGCTGCACTGGAGGTTCTACGACAGCAAACACGATCAATTGCCGCCCTCAAGAGGAAATCTCAACTCAAGGTGAGTGAAGGGGTGCACTTTACCCAGACCAAAATTTTAAAGATATTTAAAAGATTATTTAAAATACTTGTTTGTTGGAAAATAAAAAAATGTTTTTGAAATATTATAATAATAATAACAATAGTTATTATACAAATCCTCTTAAGGATTTTAAAATGAAGTGAACATATTATTGGAAAGATAATATTTTTTGCTGGCTGCTAAGTAAGGAAAAAACGTTGGTTGTGATAAGGATTATTAGAGACCTCTGTATTGTTTGCCCAGTGGCCTTTGACCCTTTGTCCAGGTGGGTCCTCATTCTCATTCCCATTCTCGTCGCCATTTGCATCCCCATCATCGTCCTGTCGATGACTCTTCAGTGTCCACTTGTGCCAGTTTCTCGATTACCAAGCAGCCCGATTCAGGGGATGGGGATTGTATTGCAGAAGGGGAGAAGGTCGCACCGAACCGAGAGTCTTCTCATCTATTTTCTGTTTCCGTGCCAGCTGAAGTTGTTGCACTCGAAGCCTGTGTTTGATTAATTTAATTTAAACGAGGAGAGGTCAATAGAAGAGGAATTGAAAGCTTTGCAAATAATAACGAGAGGAGATGATTGATTAGATTAAATGTGCCATTTAGCACACACCTTAGTTGCAGGATTAAAATAGTTGCAATCACATGGATTTTTCATTTGACACAAACGTAAAATTGTGACTAAAAATGAATAATTAACTATTATAGCCAGATGAAACCCAATTTAAGAGAATCAAGTTTAAACTATCGTTTATAACCATCTATTTTTATCTTTTTGAGAAAACAATCAAGAATTTAATGAACAACAATACTTTTCTTAATAATATCAATTAAGTATTCAAATGTTTATCCAATTGGTTTAATTCTCGTTGGAAAAATCTTCGATAACACATAAAATAGGTGAGCTGATGGTGTATTAAAACAAAGAAATGTGAAGATAAATTGGCAAGCAAAAAGGCAATAATCCGGAAAAACAAATATATAAATTAATAGTTCAATTTGATTGTATTTTGCTATTTTAAAATCGAAACTCTTTAAAAATCGTATGGATAGAATGTTATTAAGTAAGCCCTATAAATATGTTTTTCTTCGCGTTTTGTGCATTACTGTAAAAATTGAACCGTAAAAACAAGTTAACCTACTTTCAGGTGGGCAATGGTGTGTGTTTGGCCACGAGCATTAGTATTTGTGTAGGGTGCTGCATACAGTTACATTTGAGTTGTTCCATGCAAATAAACAAACAAACAGAGGCACAAATACGAAGGCAATGGCGAACACATGCAAGAAATTTGATTCATTTGCATGTTGCACCCCCAACAAAAGCTGGCACACAAACATAGATACCAACACACGCAAAAGCACACACCCCACTGCACACACACCCAAGTGCAACTAAAACAATCCTCGCAGAAATACTATGGAGGTCAACTTAACAGTTGTGTATAGTTGGAATTATTTTTGTTTCTGCAATTCACTTAGTTTATAAAACTTTTTATTTTATTAAATAGTAAATAATAAAATAATATAAATATTAAATTGTTAGCATATAACTTATAGGATTCTCAGTATTGATCTAATATTTATCTTTTTTATATATTATTATTTTATATTTTATACAATTCATCACTTGAGTTTGTATATCATAAAAACTGCAAGAGTTTATCTTGAATGTTCTGTGAAGGTCAAATTCCGAGTTCCTACAAAAACAAAAACCCAATTGAGTCCCCGAACACAATCAAGTTTCACAATGCCTTTGGGAAATTGATTAAAACGATCTGAAAATTTAGGAATTTTAAATACTGTATTTTTGGACACATTTGTAAGCAATTGAGGAGGAGGACGAAGGGCGGAGGACAGTTAAACAGCTTTTAAGCACAAACAAAGCCCCCAAACGAAAGGGGTAAAAAGGGGCAAAAAGGGGTAAAAGGAGGAGAAAGAGGGGGTGGTGCCTTGGGGTCACCGCAGGCGAGTGCAGTGCCCTCAATTAGAAGGCGCTCAAGGACATCGGCGCACAGCTGCAGCAACAACAACAACAACAACAGCAGCACGAATGCCAACAACAGCTGCTCGCTAAGTTCGTCTTTAATTGCTGACAACACGGCGTATACGTAATGCCGACCTGCATTTCCCCCAGTAAAATGTTAAGTTTTGATTTCTACGGCTGCTCCCCTGCACTTTTAACTGTTTCTCAAGCAGTTCGCGCTTGGCCTTCTCCAAAAAAAAAAAAAAAAAACGAAAGAATCGAGGGTGCATGGGGTTGCAATGGGCTCCCAAGTAGTTGGCGTTGCCTTGGCTGACATCCTTTGGCATCCTTTCGCCTCATCTTCAGACTCAAGTTACTGCCGCAAACAAAAACAGAACGAAAACAAAGTTAGAATATAGCGAAGGCGGAATGGTTTTTATTAATACCCTTTGCATTCGAGTTTGGGAATTAAAAAAGGGAAGAAAATAAAAGGAAATAGAAAGTACTTGAAAAATATCTGAAATAATTATAATAAGGGGAAATGTTTTTGTGATCGGCGCTATAGAATTGATATTAGAATTAGTTAGTATATATTTTAAGAAATATGTTTCATATTTCTATATTTTTCATCCAATTAATGGAAGGATCATATTTTCCTAGTCGAGAGTGGCAATTTGTGGAGTGTTTGTTGGGTTTTCTCGGTATTTTCTCTGCTGCTGTTGCGTCTGCTGATGATGTGGTTGCCATTATTGTTGCGGTTCGTCCTCGACGTTGTCTCTGCCTGTGGAATCTGCCAAGGACACGCACTATTCGTGTGTGTGTGTGTGGAGCCACAAGTCGTTGGCGTTTGTTGCCCGCCACAAGGACACTCGAGGCATGCATGCCAGATTTATGCCACCCACTACCCACCTTCGTCCTGTGCCCCCGGTGGTCCTGCAGCCTGCCAAGGATCGGTGGCCGGATGTGAGAGCAGCCGAGCAGCCTTCGTCGGAGGTGAAGCGACAAACCTGAACCTGAATTTCTCTTCATGTACACAGTGAAAAAAGATATCCTAGTTTTAATTTAACTTTTTTATGTTTTTACATTTTTTTATTGAAAGTACAAATTTTTCAGAGGGTTGTATATCCTTTTTTTTTGGTCCTGGCACTGGGCAACTAATCATCGCCATAGTTATCGCAATTACTATCGCCATAGTTATCGCAATAACTATCGTTATAGTCGTTGTAGGAAGAACAATGAGTATCAATATTTGTATCAGTGTGGTGATTGCTTTGGGTACATTCCTGGGTATCATTGTGGGTATCTTTGTGGGTATCGCTGGTCAAAAAGAGGTGGGTATCATGTCTTACATCCTCCGTAGTTACATCTGCAAGTCCTATTTCATAACCTTTTAGCGAAATATTGTCATAGTCTGCTTCGCCAGATGCCGCTTCTTCTATTGAATTGCGCGAGTTGCTTGAATAACATTTAGAGCACTTTTGCCTGCGAGCAAACAAAATACCCAGCCCACCAACAAACCACATAATCACTATAGTTATATAGATATATGCAACGGGATCCATTCTTAGCTCCGCCCGAGAGGAAAGTTTCAAGCCAACTGAGCTCAAAATTATTCCGATAGATCAACCTTGCCACATGCTGAACATTTGTATACTCTCCCTCTCTAATGCTCTCTTAGCTCTTTTAAAATCCCTATATACATATCTTAAAAGGGAATACACTGTTATGGAAACCTTAAAGAAATTAATTCTCTTATGCTAGACCTTTTAAATTTGTTTGCTGGGTGTTGAATAAGGCAACAACTTCATAGAAAGAAAGAGTTTTTATTTATTTTGTCAATAATTCTACACGTGTTAATCGATTGCTCTTTTCTTTGAAAAGTCTCTTAATATTAATTTATGAAAGAGAAAAAGACTCAATACACTTAGCCATTTTGCCTTATAATGTTGTGCGTGCTTGGAATTTAAGTTAGTCGCAAAACATTGATCACATTAAGAGTACAAGAAACTGTTAAATTACAAACTCTTCTAGGATTTAAAGTATAAAATATTAAGTTAATTCTAACTTGATTTTGCCAGTGGCTTTTCTTGTAAAATTGTATATCCTTAGGCGGACTGACTTATCATAGTTCATGGAAATATGGTGCTATAATCCGGTGGTGGGCCATCTTGAAAGTCGTCTGGAGGCTTGAATATTGTATCGTATAGTGGTGGCTCATCCATTGTATCAGCTGGTGGTATCGATGCTTCCAAATCAGGCACATTTTCGTGCTGACTCAGTGGAGGCTCACTCGCGGAAAGTTTTATATTTTTTTTATTATTTAATATTCTATCAAAAAACCAAAATAAAAACGCAACCAAAATTATTTTAAAAAGGGCCAGTAGAAAATCTTCCATTTTTAATACCGGTGAAGTGGATTGCTTCAACCCAACTGATGAATGAGCTTATACTCTGCGTTGATAATGCTTTTACTCGCATACATAGAATCGTGTATACAATCTCTGTGCGTAAAAAAATGTTTTACAGTGCTCTTTTAAAATAGAGAACAATTGATGAAAATCAGAGGTAAACCAATTTTTTATGAGATCACTTTTTTAAGTCAGCACAGGCGTACTCACTATGGTTACCAAGAAAAATCTCAAATACATGCATGCTGTTGTTTTGAATGAATTAATTCCAAAAATGTTTATAGACCGCTCTTTAATTTGACTCATATACATAAGTATATTTATTTGAAAATTTTTACTCACACCCGCGTTTTAGGTTCTGCGAGTTGGTGTCAAAGTGTATCACACATACGCACTGTTGCCTTCGACCGAAATATAGATTGTACAATGTGCATATTCACAGTAAAAAACAGATTTCCAGGTTTCAATTTATGTTCTTGTTTTCACAGTTTTTTTGTATGGATTTAATATAATTGTCAAAAGTTATTAAAAAGTACAAATTTTGTTAAATGATTTATATAAATTGTATGTTATTTGGTCCATGCACTGAAATTAGAGTGTCGCCTAATCATCACAAT